GACTAATATATGTAAAAGTGCTCTGTAAACCTTAAAGTATTATATAATATCTGTTGTTAGTCAATTGTTGTCACTTAACGAGTAATAAGGGATTCCTATGTGTCAGGTATCATGTCAAGTTAAGCACTTAAAATACAAAGAAAAGAAAGACAAAAAAAAATGCCCTGTCCTCAAGGAGCTCACATTCTAATGTATAAGACAAACATGAAAATAACTAGGTACATTAAAAAATGTATTCATTTAGAGCAGGGCTTCTTAAACTTTTTCCACTCAAAGCCTCTTTTTGTGTTTTAGCAGCATATGTTGGCGTTGCACGTCTTGAGGGCACACGCAGTGCAAAGTGCGCGTGCTTCGTGTTTAGAACCAAGGCTGCAGTGAAGTTGCACCATGCCACACAGGCAAGCGTTTCCAGAAACACCTTGGATTCATTACGCATTTGATTTCCAATTAACTTTTGGTTGTTGTGCATTGAGAAACTTTTTGCTGTTGTCAAATTTTTCGCGACTCCATGGGGTCATGACCCACAGTTTAAGACGTGCTGATTTTTGAAAATGATCTGAATAATGAAAGATAATATGGGAGGGGAAGGCACTAGCATCTGGAGGGACTAGGAAGGGCCTCCTGAAAAAGACAGGATCTGAGCTGTTTCACAGGAAGCGAAGAGGCTGAGTTGAAGGGAACAGCCAGCTCAAAGTACATGGAGTGTTGTGTGTGAGGAATCGCAAGTAGACCAGTGTGGCTGGATTGTAGAAGACAGAAAGAGAAGTAAAGTATGAGAAGACTGGAAATGTAGGAAAAGGCCAGGCTGGAAAAGAGCTTTGTTATTATTATTACTCCAGCAGAACTATTTGTCAGGACAATGACCAGAACAGGGTAAAACTATTTGCCAGATATTTAGTCTTACCCTTGAACGGTGAATAGTTTACCAAGATACCAACCCTGCCTACTATTATAGAAAGACAGACTGAGCAAGACCTCTACTTAATGAAGCTTCAGACTCCACTAGCTTGCCTGGGAGCTATCACTGGGAAATCAACCTTGAGTTTCTTGCCTTTGCCAAAATAAATTAATATAAGTTCCTTCTTTAAGCCCTAAAAGTGCAAGGAAAAAAAAATAATGAGCGGGTTTTGCTTGCTTGTTTCCTGGGCTATGGTCTATTGGTAGTATTAATTGTTCCATGTTGGGACAGAATGGGCATGATTGCACCAGGGAGCATGCTTAATAAACAATGCAATTAATACCATCTAACTGTTTACGGGTGAGCAAGATAATATACAAAACAGCAAATTAATCTGCACACTCAGTCCCCCAAAGATGGCCAGATGGGCAAACTGAAATGTCAGATGTTTCCTCTTTGCCTTACCAGTTAGAATTTCCTCTTTATGGGATCGTACAGCTCACATTATATTGGAGAACAAACAATCTGATCACCGCCCATCTAACAGCCAACTCCAGGGGCCATAAGAGGGTTTAATTATGGCCTTCTGAGGGCTTTATGCTTTGAAATCATGCCAAATGGCCCTGCAACCTAGAAAGCACTAGAGAGTAGCCATTGTAAATCTATAGTAGGGGGCATAACGAATGGAGTGTTAGACTTGAGAGGCCGGAAGACACGAGTTCAAATTTGACTTGACGCAGTAACTAGCTATATAATCCTAAGCAACTCACTTAGTTTCTCATCTGTAAAATGGGTAAAATAACCTCTAGAGGTTATCATGGGGGTCAAATGAGATTATAAATGTAAAGAGCCTTGTAAATCTTAAAGCCCTATGTAAATACTAGCTATTATTATTATTAACAATAATAAATTAAAAACTATTTTCAGAAAAGGCAGCTAGGTAGGGCAGAGCATAGAGTGCTGTGCTTGGAACCAGGAAGACTCACCTCCATGAGTTTAAATCTGGCCTTAGACACTTACTAGATGTATCTAGTCAAGGCAAGTCACTGAACTCAGTTTCTTCATCTGTCAAATGATCTGGAGAAGAAAATGGCAAACCACTCTCAGTATCTTTGCCAAGAAAACCCCAAAAGGAGTCATGAGGAGTTAGACATGATTGAAATGACTAAACAATAACAATACTTTCAGAAAAAAGTGACATTGATCAAAACAATTTATATTTATCCTGCCAGAGTCTAAGAAAAGAAAGGAGCGTGCACGCGCGCGCACGTGTGTGTGTGTGTGTGTGTGTGTGTGTGTGTGTGTGTGTGTGTTGTGACTGAAGGAAGTTTGTTTTCTCATTGTCTCCTAGACCTAGAGTGGCCAGTATTTCCCATTCCATGTGGTCAGGCCCAGACCCTAGTCCCACATATAACCAACCTCCCCCAGGTCCCAGTGCACAGCTAGAAAACAAAGGGGCCCTTATTCCTATAACATGAGCAGTCATTTCTACAGCTTTTGTCACATTTCAAAACCAAAAGCTGCCATCTCGACTAAGCCCCAGGCCCAAGGGAAAATCCTCTACTCTGAAGCCTGGGTCTTTTGGACACACCCACTACTGAAGCCACCTTTCCAAATGCCACATTACTTTTTCCTTCTCCTTGTTCCTTTCCTCTTCCTCTCCATCACACTGTTGTTTCTAGGCACCATTTGTATTTGATTAACATTCCTTGAACAAACAACGGGCTGAACAGGCAACAAAGTAGGGCAGGCAAATTCCAGGGATACAGGACAAAGCGGCGGCCTCTTCATGGGTGAAGGCCACTTGGTTCTGAAGCAGAGAAGGCTCAGGCTAACCCACCGTCCACCTGGAGCACTCTGACCTGGATGTTAAACTGCAGCCGAACCAAGGACAACATGGCCTCATGCGGACTTGGAAATAGGTTACAAAAGTCTTACTTTACAAATTGTTTTCAGGAAGCCTTCTGACCCAGCTGAGAGCAGAGAATTCTAAAAACATTGCAAATCAGGGGTTCTGAACTTGGGATCTGTGAACTTGTGAGGTTTTTTCCTAATATATTGATAGCTATTTTAAAATAATTGGTTTCAGTTGTAATCCTATGTATTTTATTTTGTACATTTAAAAAAATTATTCTGAGGAAGGGTCCATAGGCTTTGCCAGACTGCCAAAAGAGTTCGTGACACAAAAAAGGTTAGGAACTCCTGCTGTAAGTGAAATATGTTCTGAATTAAGAGGTTTATATATCCGACTTTGTACATGTTGAGATACAGGAGGAGAGCTTGGCCTTTAGAGGAACAATACAATTCTAATTGTTTATGTTCCTTTCATAATTTGAATACTTGACATCTCTAGAATTTTGCTATTTATTATTACTTAATTCTCATATAGGCATTTAAATTTCTATACATTTATGTCTCATATTCTCAACTGTGTGGTCAGCTCCGAGAAGACCAGGACTGTGGGTTATGCTTCTTCGCATCCACCACAGCAAATATACATTTATTAAACTTGAATAACCCTATTGCCTGGAGGATAAACTACAAATATCTTTGTTTAAAATAATTCATTTCCTTTGTAATTGTATTCCATATATCCAGAGGTGATAGTTTTTAAGTGGAGAAGACCAATAGCTATAAAAGTAAAAATATTCACTTACATTAACATCTTTAGATTCATAAGACCAAATTTCTTTAGGAAAGTGCCATGAATGACTAACCAATGCATAGAATCTATAGTTAAAAAGGATCTTAGATATCATCTATTTCAATTTCCTTATTTTACTGAGGAGAAAATTGATCCCTAGAAAGAGCAAATGACTTTTCTGGGGTCACAAAGTAACAAACAGGAGAGATAGATTCAAGATTCTCACACTCCAAGTTCAGTACTCTTGCCGCTACACTGTGTGGACAACACGTCACCGGACACAAGAGTTTAGGAACCAAGCCAGAGAAAGGGAGTCCATGAAGATGAGAAGAGAATGCATGACCAATATGATCTTCAAGGTTACCTTCTAGCACAGAGATTCTTTGGTTCTATCTGCAGAGATAATAAAGTAGGGAGAAGGGAGCTGGGCCAGCATTTGGACAGCTCCAGTTGCCCCAAACTCCAGAATGTGAAAGCTGTGTGCCGTGCTCTAGGGTGCAACTGAAGGAAAAGGAAAAAACACTGGAAAAAGTATCAGAAGTCCTGGCTCTGACATCAACATTTATGACTGTGTGGTCTCTAGCAAATCATTTAATCTTCCTCACCTGTAAAATGATAATAATATCACAGACTTTTAGATCTGGAAGAAACCCTGGGAATTCTCTAGGATAGTCCCCCATTTTACAGATTATGAAACTGAGGAATATCAAGGTAAAGCAGTGACCTTCAAACTGATACTAGTAAAGCACAGGATTTTCCATATCCATCTCCTACTCAAAAAGCTTCGATGGTGCCCTATTGCCTTGAGGATAAATACAAGTATTTTTGTTTACAATAATTGGTTTCCTTTGCAATCCTATGTATTTGATATTGTATATTTAAAAACGTTATTCTGAGCAGGAGTTCATAGGCTTTGCCAAATTGCCAAAGGAGTCCACAACACACAAAAAAAAAAAGATTAAGAACCTCTGCTATAATTGACCCTGGTCTGGTACAGTTAGTATGCCCTTGACAAGAGGTTCATAAATCAACAAATACATAAATACAAATAAAATACAAATATCTTTATTTGGCCTTGAAACCCCTCACAATCTGTCTCCAGCATATCTTTCCAGGGTCATAACACATTCTTCTCCTTCATACGCTCTAGAATCTAGACAGTCTCCCCACTATTCTTCATATGTGACATCACCTCCCACATTCATGCCTTTGCAAACTTGTGGATGTCAGGAATGCACTCCTGCTTCAGCTCAAGCATAGAATCTTACAGGAGATCCTTCTGAATGCCCCTCACTCACATCGCTAGTGTCCACCCTCAAAATGACTTTGCATCTAGGGATGGGAACTGGATCTATGATTTCATTGATAAAAAGAAATCCTAGATGAGAAAACCCCCTATACCAAGGCAGGAAAGTACCTGCTCTGCAGCATGTGGTCTGAGAGGATTGCCTAGAAGACTGAGAAGTTGTGACTTGCTCAGGGTGACCTAGCCAGAATGGGTGTTGGGGCAAGACAAGAACCCAAGCCTTCTTGGCTCTTCTTCCAAAGCCAGCTCTCCAGCCACTGCCATAGCTGCCTCTACTTAGTAGTATGTATTTATGTATATATGCATGCATATGTGTATGTGCATGTGTATTAATCATATATCTGTATTATGAACATATATGTGTGTGCATACATATGTGTGTGTGCATGTGGGTATGTATATGTGTACATTGCATGTGTATATGTTGTGTATGTATGTGGGCATGTATCCATGTATGTCCTATTTCCCCACAATAGAATGTGAACTCCTTGAAGATGTTAATGTTCAGTCATTTTTCAGTCTTGTCCAACTCTTTGTGACCCCATTTGGGGTTTTCTTAGGAAAGATACTGGAGTGGTTTACTTATTCAGCTCATTTTACAGAAGAAGAAACTGAGACAAACAGGGATAAGTGCCTTGCCCAAGGTCACATAGCTAGGAAGTGTCTGAGGCCAGATTTGAACTCAGGAAAACGAGTCTTCCAGGCTCCAGGCCCAGCACTCTGTGCACTATGGCACCACCTAGCAATAAACGCTTATTGAATAAATCAATGAATTGACCTATGTCATACAGCGAGTTAGTGGCAAAGCCAACCACAGAACCCAGGTTTCTTGACTTACAATCCCATGTGCCCTTCCCTATCCCCTGCTGCCCAGCAGACCTCACAAGCTTGTAATGATCAAAGGAGACAATGAAAAGTTTTATACAAACTGAGATATTATCATGAGGGATCAAACATGCAAAACACCAGATCTAGGCAAGATTCCTTGGAAAATGTGATGCAAAGAGGAGGTTCTGAGAAATTACTCACCTCCTGTCCAGCCCATCTATATAGAAGGGGAGTTTTCAACAGCCAAATGGCATCAAAATGACCTTCAGGGAAGAGAAGTCTTCTATAGAACTTCTATGACTTTTCCAAAAACAACTAAAAATCTTCCAAATAAAATTTCCCTTTTTATGTTATTAAACCAAGGAGGTATATTATTCAATTTTAGAAGGAAAAAAATACAAACTTACTTTAAAGTGGAGCAAATGATGAAACTGTATTATCAGCTTAGTGACCTTACTTTATATGACAGAAATTACAATAGGGAAGAATTCAGTATATAATGTAAGCTTCTTGAAAACAGGGATGGTCACTTTTTTGTATTTATGTCCCCAGTGCCTAGCACAGTGTTTGGCATGGAGTCGAAAATTAATAAATGATGAATTGATATAATAACTGGCTTGAAACAGTCAGTGGCCTCATTCCCAAAAGGATTAGTGACCAATGTACTCAAATAAAAAGACCTCATCATAAGGCAGTTTAAGAGAGAGTGTTGCCTAGTGGATAGAGACTCATCCTTGGAGAAGACCTGGGTTCAAATCTCACCTCCTACTAGCTGTGTGATAATATCAGATAAAGTCTTATTATGCAAACCTCTTGTTAGGAACATATCTAATTTGTCGAGCTGAGTTCACTTAGAGGAGGAATTCTTAACCTTTTGTGTCCTGGACTCCTTTGGCAGTCTGGTAAAGCCTATGGACCCCTCCTCAGAATATTTTTTTTAAGTACAAAATTTAAGATGCATGGGATTATAAAGGAAACCAATGACTTAAAATGCAATTATAAACATATTAAGTGACAGACAGCTCTCTAAGACCGTAAGTAACTAAGATTTTCCAGGCGTTCCCCACATTGATGAAATCACAGGTCCAGACCCCCTCCCAATTATGGTTAAAAATTAATTAATTAATTAAACAATTCCACCTAAAAAGAGATTTCACAACATGGACATTGAGGCTGACTTTCTTTCCAATGTAATATGACTGTGTTTACTGCTAGCTAAGATCTGGGACTTTCTTTTTCAAGGGTCAGTGGTTCTTCTGAGCAAATAGAAAAGCATTCAGTTCATTTCTTGCTATGAGAGCTGTGTTTGTGAGCAAGGGCGGGGTAGGGTTGGGAGGGCAGAATGGGTCGTGTTCAGCAGAAAGGACAGCTTCTGAGAAAATAGAAGTCATTTGGCAGTCTTGCCTCAGGTTCAGCACTTTTTTGTGTAACAAGCAAAGACCGGTGGGTGTAGCGAGGGAGGGAAGGAGAGGCAGAGACAGAGACACAGAGAGAGACAAGAGACAGAGAGAAAGATTTTTTCTAAAAATTCACAAAATGTTTTTTAACCTTCCCAAATTCTAATCTGATTCTGTTGGTTTTTGTCCAGGTGGCTTTGAAAAGTTCAGAGGTAAAATGGAAAAGAAGTAGTGATATTCCCTATGTCAACCCTGAAAATTCTCACAAAATTTGGAAATGATTCAATGAGGGTATGTGAATCTTGGCAGCTGAAGATTGACAGGTTCACAGAAATCTAAAGCTATGTAAACAAATACAAGATGTGAACTGATCTATACTGTTCGGTTACAGGATAGAAAATAAGAAAATCATAACACTTTCAATTGACAGATGATTTATTTCTTCTAACTGAAGGATAGACTGTCTAATAACTATCATTTCTGTATATTAAATCTTGGTAGGACACAGCTGTTTCCTGTATGGCCCACTGGGTTTTTCTCACCTTTAATCTCCAACAGGGGAACATATTTAACATCTTAAATGAGACTTGTTTTAACTGGGCCACTCTTTTTCTCTTCATTGAAATAGTTGAAACCCTATTTTGTCAGCAATGACAAGGGACCTGTTGAGGCCCACTGACAGACCAAGAAATAGCCCACCTGCCGAAATAATAACACAAAGGTTCTCAGTATGGGTCTCCGTACCACAAGCAAAAAACACAGGCTTGTGCTGCGGTCAGTAATTTAAAAGTCACCTTTTGCTCCTTATGTTTCAGGCTTTCTCCTTGACAATCAACTTTTGCAGCAGCAAGAGAGTATTTACTAGTATTAACTTGTCAGCGAGAAAGGCAATAAATTGCACTAAGTTTGAAGCACTTGATAGACAATATTTCACAAGCCCTTCTAGAATCCCTTAGGAACTAGCTGCATTGATGTAAATCTTACATTGAGGAAACTGAAGCCACGATGAGCTTTCATTGAATCCTGCTCGATACACTCACAAGATTTGTTTAGCATGGAGGAGAGAAGGCTTAGGGGGTACGAAGTAAAAGCCTTCAAGGATCTCGCAGACTGCCACGGTTGGAGGAAAGATTAGGTCTGATCTACTTGTCACTTTCCCCTCCCCAAGACACTGCTCTAAGCATGAGGTAGAAGTCACAGAAAGAATAATTAAGGCTTCATGGCAAGAAAAGCTTCCTTACAACTATGGGCTGCCTCCTAACATAACAACTCTCATCCCAAGAAGTCATTTTAAGTTTGGACTGCCTTCTAAGGTTCCTCGTTCAGTCATGTCTTACTTTTTGTGATCCCATCTTGGCAAAGACACTGGAGAGGTTTGCCATTTCCTTCTCCAGCTCATTTTTCTATTATGTTATATATTGTACAGAGGAGAAAACTGACTCTCAGAGAACATATTACCTACCCAGGATCACACAACTAGTAAGTGGCAGAGCCCCCCATCTGAAGCCCTTCCAACTCTTCAGATTCTTGGTGCTGTTTCCCTCACTGCATAAGATCATCTATGCTTGGCTACCAGAATTTGGTCACTTTCTTTCTCTTTTTTTTTTTTTAAAGTGGTACATATAACCTCTGTGGGCAGCTAGGTGGTCCAGTTGATAGGATGCTGGCCCTGGAGTCAGGAGGACTTGAGTTCAAATCCAACCTCAGACACTTACTAGCTGTGTGATCCTGGGCAAATCACTTCACCCTGTTTGCCTCAGTTTCCTTATTTGTAAAACAAGCTGGAGAAGGAAATAGCAAACCACACCAGTATCTTTGACAAGAAAATCCCAAATAGGGTCACAAAAAGTCAGACATGAGTGAAATGACTGAACAAAAAACATATATGTGTATGTATATTTATATGCATGTGTACACATATGTAAATATGTGTATGTGTATGTCCTCTGTGGCCAAAATTTCAGACACAGGCAGCTCTATCTGGAACATAGGACTGGGTGACAATTGTCGCAGGTAGGTATCATAATGTTCTAGATCTAAAGCTAGAAAGAGGTCTCAAAAGGCCATCTTAACCCAATCATGTCATTTTACAGATAAGGAATTTGAGGCACAGGGCAATTCCGTGATTCCCCAGGGTCCTGCAGGACTATAAGTGTCAAAAGAAAGTAGTTGAACCCAGGAGCTCTGACCCCAAGAGTCTCTGCACCGCACCAGGAGGAGCAACCCATTGCTCTTTGGAGATTCCTCTGGTTATTGTCATTTCTTCCCATCTCTGATCATTTTCAGTGCCAGACGGAACCTCTGCCAACAGATAATGGTGTTTATGAGATCAGTACTCATCTATTTTGGTGTCATGTAGGAGTACACCCAACATTTCTCTGCGATCTTACACTCTGTTCCACTTCCAACAGGCCTAAATTTAACCAGTACCTGGCGGAGAAGAACCAAGCACGCTTCTGTCAAGAATACCCCAGAGTGAGTCGGTTCTAATTCACTTAAAGCTCCTAATGCCCTCCCTCCCCTTGGTGTTTCTCTGGCCAGGCACTCCCCTCCCTCCTGTTGGTTTCCAGCAGGTCTGCAGGCTGAGCAGGTACTGAACCCTCCTTTTGGCCAGGGTTCCAGTTATCTCTTCTCTGGCCTCATCTCCTCCCTGAGGTCTGCAGGTATTCTGCTCTGTTCTCTCTCAGGTCCTGCCAGGCCTTGGCCCCAGTTATGTTCTCTGAGTACAGGCTCTTCTTTTCCTGTCTCCCCAGCCCAGAAAATACTCTTTTCTGCCGCTGAGTCATCCCTTACTAGGTATAATACCAAAAGGAAACATTTGTTCTGGAGCCGCATGGACGACATAGAAGAATGTGATACTGTGTATTCCAATACGATGGAGTGTGTGTGTGTGTGTGTGTGTGTGTGTGTGTGTGTGTGTGGCACAGATACACATGCCTGTGACTTCAAAGAGGTTCTAACCCCCTTTCAAAAAAAACACATTCGCACCCATTTCCCCTGAAAGAGAAATGAAAAGGTAAGACTGAGTGTCAATGCCTGTGGTAGGCACAGCAAACAATTGGAGATCACAGGATTTAGAGCTAAAAGGGGCCTTAGAATTCATCTCCTTTCACAAATGAGGAAATTGAGGCCTAGAGAGGGGAGGGGATATTCCCAAGGTCTCCCAGGTATAAGGGAGCAAAGCCAGATTCAAATTCAGGTGCTCTAACTCTAAATGTGGTGCCCTAAAGGGAATGCTATTTGTTGGTGTGCCAGGCCCTCTACAAATCTGGTCCCCCTGTGTCAGCCTTTCCCTCATCTAATCCACTCTGCATTTTCCCTCCACAGTCTCCTAGGAAATCATCTCCCAACAGCCTTTTCTGACTTGTATCTCCTCCATTTGTTCTCAAATTCTGCTACCCAGATGGAAAAGAGGGAAATCGAGAAGAAGCCTGGACAACCTTTATTTCTGACCATTTCTGTGATATGAGGCTCAACAGTATTTGGCAAGTAAGTAAAGAAAGGACTTTTTTGTTCTGCTAAAATGCATTCATTCATTTATTCCTTCAACAAATAATGTATTAAATGTCTCCTATATGTGAGGCACTGTGCTAAGTACTAAGACAAGGACGGAGATAAGTGAGACATGTTCCTTCTCTAGCAGCTCTACAATATAGGCTCAGAGATTATTTCTGTTTAAAGCATTCAGCCAATGGGCAGCTAGATGGAGCAGTGGATAGAGCTCTGGCCTTGAAATCAGGAGGACCTGAGTTCAAATCTGACTTCAGATACTTGACACTTACTAGCTGTGTGACCCTGGGCAAGTCCTTTAACCCTGATTGCCTCATCCAAAAAAAAAAAACAAAAAAGAGAGAGAGATAAAGAGTTAGGGTAGTACTCAAGTGATGGGATCAGAATGAGTGAATGAATGAATATTTATGAATCACCTATTACATATCAGATTCTATGCTGTGCATTGGGGATACAAATTTGAGTGAGACAATCCTACTCACAAAGAGCTTACATGTGTGATGAATGAAAAGTCCAAGAGACAGTAATTAATAATCAATGTATTAAATATGACTAACAAATAATCAATAAAAATTAAGGTCAGTGGTTGTCTCGAAAACTAAAGACAAACCTTGGAGGCCCTGGAATGCTTAAATAGTTTTGAAGAGGTTGTCCTTAATGGGTAGAAATCAACTCTGATTGGTTAGCAATTAATAAGAGAATGAATGCTATAATGAGAGGTGAGTTTATTCTAATAAGGGGCTGGGGACTTGACTCTGATCACTGAAACACAGACTCATCTCAAGCCAGACCACTCCCACATTGGGCAACCATATACAAAAGGGTCTATTCTCCACCCAGTCTATGAACAATGAACAATGGTGGGTAAGAATTCCTCTGAAATAAGATGGTCTGGGTGGGGTGAATTCTTTGGGCAAGGTCAGAAATGTTCTTGAAAGGCTGGGCTTTGAATAAGGAAATAGAAAGGGAAAAAACCCTGGATCTCTCCCAATATTAATAATCGGTTATTAATAATCGTTTTTCTCACATTCTAATATGGAGGAGACATACAGAGGGGAGTGACAGAGTAGATGGCAAAATGCCCAGGATAAATTGATGGATGGATGGGCAATGAAGCATGATCTAAGGCCAAGTAGATGTAATGGGTCAGATTAATTTGTACTTATTTACTAACCAATCAGAATAACTCATCCTCCAGACAAGAGTTCCAAAACTAAATGGATTAACTCTCTTGGTGTTGGGGGGGGGGGGCATGATTTCTGAAGGTCCTTTCCAGAGGATATTATTTTAAGTAGAGAAAGGAAGGGAATTAGGTTAGATGATAGCAAAATGCCTGGGATGAATGACTGGTTGGTAAATGAATGGTTGGTAAACAAGAAGCACCAGAAGAAACCAACTGAAAGAAAAACATAAAATTATTTAATGAGCTTCCCCATTTATAGTTGCCTGTGTTATATCATAATGGTAGAAAGCATTCCCCACTAAAGTACTAAACAATTATTAAGATAAACTATGTTCCCAAATATCTCTATAAACTTGCTATACAAAAAGAAAACCTATATAAATAAACTTGCTATACAATGCCTGAAATTATACCATTCATTCATCCATCCATTCATTCATTCATTCATTCATCATTTGGATTAATATTCTCCCCTTGCACTTGCTGCTCTCTCTGCCCGGTCTCAATTCCATGGAACAAGATGGCCCTCTCAGGATAAGCTCATCACTTCTACACATCACCTGTAGGCTGCTAACTCAAACCTTGATCACCACCACCTCCCTCAGCCTTCTCTTTTGTCTTGTTGGAGGACTGGAGTGTGGGAGGGCAAACTCCTCCCAAAACCTTCCTTTATAGATGGAAGAAACTGAACTCAGCTCACTCCACTTTATGTCTGCTACTCTGCCTGATTTCAACTCCACAGAACAAGATGCCCTCATGTTGGCTACCAACCCCTGGTGTCCTTCATTTCCCCCTGCTACTTTCCTGCCTTCTTCAGTTTATAAGCTCCTTGAGAATAAGGACTGTTTTTCTTTTTATCAATTATATCCCCAATGCCTACCATGGTGCCTTTCACATAACAGGTGTTTTATAAATATTTACTGGATTGGATTGGATATACTTCTGTCCTGGTCAAACATCTTTTAAATCTTGAAGCAGGATGGTGTAGTAGGTAGGGTGAATGAGTTGGAGTCAGGAAGACTTGACTTCAAATCATGCTTCCTACACTTACTAGCTGTGTGGTCCTGGGCAAGTCACTTAGCCTATCTAGGCTTCAGTTTCTTTATCTGTGAAATGAGAGGGTTGGACTTTAAAGTCTCTTTCACCTCTAAATGTATAATTCTATAGATGCAAATATCCCTAGGTGGTTTTGAGTTTTCAATATCTTACTACACATTTGTTTATCAGATAGCCTTTCATTGAGGAAGAAACAGCTAGTTGAAATCAGAGTGCTGAAGATCATTAGAATTTTGATGAAGAGGTGGGAATAATTTGGGATCATGGGGTACTACTCCAGGGAACTGGAAGGCCCTTCATCCTTGCAAATGAAGAGGTATCATGAAAACACATTCATTCTTTTGGATTAATATTTTTCTGCTAGAAGATTGTACCAGAGTGAAAAGAGGAACACAGAAATATAAATGCCTGCTTCATAATTTGACCTGGACCTGCCCCCAAAGAAAGCTTTCTTTCTCTTCTGCTTCTCTTCATATGATATTTACATTGTTCTCAGAGGGAATCCTTTCTCTCATATCTTTGAAGCAACAAAATATCTCTTGGAAATTTATCTCTTAAAAATCAAATGATGAATAAAAAGAACTCAGAGACGAACAGAAAAACTTGTATGAACTGATGCAGAGTGAGGTAAGCAATGGAAAACAACATGTAAAACTACATCAACATAAATGGAGGGAAAAAACTCTACCTCTGAACAACGTGTAATTGGAATGATCAAGCTTGGCTCTGGAGGAGAGAAGGGAAAGCAGGCCTCCCTCCCTTTTGCAAAAGTGGGGGCTAAGAGTGTAGAACATTGCATATACAGGCAGACTTCACTAATGTGTTCATTTTACTGGATTGCTTTTTTTCCTCTTTTTATAAAATCTTTATTAGAAGGGATGGAAGAGGAAGAAGATATATTCAGAAAAGAAGATGGTATTTTTAAAAATCCAGTTTTTTAAATTCCCTCAGAAAAGAAACTGAAAAAGAAAGCAAATCCAGATCATCGTGTATTGGAAGCAAAATAAATTGACAACAACAACAAAAAGAACATGAAAGCTTGGGTCTTAATTTCCACACCTTTCTTTTCTTATTCTAAGCTTCTATGTCTTCTCGCCTCCCACCCTACAGTACCAGTTGCAATGGAAAAATCCCTAAATTTATTGTCAGAGCACCTTGGTTTTCAAATCTTGACTGTCCTACCAATTAACTGGCCTTGGGCAAGTCACAATCTCTCTGGGCCTCAGTTTATTCATCTGTAAAATGGCAGGGAGGGTGTAGAAAGGGGGAGGCAAAATAGATTACCTATAAGGTCCCTTCTGCCTCTAAGTCCATAATACTATGAATGTCAGGTCCTTGAATTCTAGCAATGAATATACGGTATTCACTGCCAATAACTTCTGGTAGAGAGCAGAACTAGCTTAAGGATGCATTCAACTACTCATGCTTTGAGTGCCCACTGGATGCTGAGCTCTGTAATCATCCTTTTTCTCTTTTCTCTGAGGATTTTTAAAAAGGTGTTACTTTGGATGCTTGGGTTGCCATGGTATAAATTTTAGGATGGGAGAAGAGGAAAAAATCCAGCAGAAGGAACAGGATCAAAGCCACTTTTTTTTTCAGTCTAATGGCTTCTAAAAAATTATTAGCAAGTGTCAGTCACCCCTGAGAATATTTAGCAAAGTCTTCTTAAGGTCTTCAAAGTCCCTATCTCAAACCCAGGAAGAAAAAGTTCTTTCTTAATTCATTCATCATTTTTCCCTTTCTCAAAAACACATCAAAAGATAATTGGGGACAGGTGTTCTTTTCAAAGAAGTAAAGCTAAAATGATCCTGGCCCTAAGGGCCCTGAAAGTACAGTGCCCATACTGCCATGGACTTGGAATCAGGAAGACCTGAGTTCTAATCCTCCCTCAGAACCCTGCTACCTATGTGACCCTGGGAAAGTCCTTTCATTCATCTGTAAAATGAGAGGATTGGGTTCAACAGCCTTCTGAGGTCACTTATGGATTTTCATTAGAGTGACTAGCCAGATTAAGGGGTTGGGAGCATTAGTTGGTACGTTGCCATGGAAATGAGTAATTTTTTTTTTTAGGCAATTGGGGTTAAGTGACTTGCCCAGGGTCACACAGTGTCAAGTGTTTGGTCTGAGGCCGGATTTGAACTCAGGTCCTCCTGACTTCAAGGCCGGTGCTTGGAAATGAGTACTTCTAGCTGTAACTGTTCTAGGTCCTAGGGACAGGTTAAAAACCATGCTCTGGTGTTCTGAAGCAGATTCTTACCCTTTTTTGTGTTTTGGACCACTTATAAGTTTAATGAAACCTCTGGACCCCTTCTCAGAATAAAGCTTTTCAGTCATATCTGATTCTGACCTCATTTTAGGTTTTCTTGGCAAAGCAAGTGGAGTGGTTTGCCATTTCCTTCTCCAACTCATTTTATAGATGAGGAAACTGAGGCAACCAGGGTGAAGCGACTTGCCGGTGGTCACACAGCTAGTAAGTGCCTGTAGGATTTGAACTCAGTTCTTCCTGAATCCAGGCCTAGCACTGTATCCACTGAGCCACCTATCTGTCCCAAATAAAATAAAATCCCACCCCAGGCATTTATTAGTCACTTAACTTCTGTCTGCCTCAGTTTCCTCATCTGTAAAATGGACATAATAATAGCACCGCATTGACAAAGTTGGATGAGGAACAAATGAAATAATGGATGTAAAGTGTTTCACAAACCTTAAAACACATGTATGTGTGAGCCAGTATTGTTTTCTAGTGTATCTTTTCTTTGGGCACCTTTGGCAAACCACCTCCAAGGTAACTGCCTCCCAAATGCCCCTTCAAGAAAAAGATTTCCTGGGGCAGCTAGGGGGTGCAGTGGATGGAGCACCAGCTCTGGAGTCAGGAGGACCTGAGTTTAAATCTGACCTCAGACACTTAATACTTACTAGCTGTGCGACCCTGGGCAAGTCACGTAACCCCGATTGCGTAGCCAAAAAAAAGAAAGAAAGAAAAAGATAAAAAGATTCCTGTTGAATTTCCATTTGAGTCAACCTTCATCCCTGAGCTTCGGCATGGTGCTGGCCTAATGTAAGAGAGTTTCAAAACCTTGGTTTCCTTGGGGTTTACTCAATGGTAACCAATCCTTTTCACTTCCTCAGAAGCTGCAGAGACAAATGGACACCAGAAGAGGGGAAAAACAAAAAACAACAGAACTGGTAACGTGGCCTGCATCCTGAATAACCTTGCCCATGTTTAAGGGTAGTGGAACCAGGCATTTCCCACCAACGCTGAAATATTGTTATGACAGAAGATAAACCCCATCGTCTCTCCTTTCCACAGTCACCCTTCACCCTGGCATCCATATACCAGATCCAAGGAGTGCTGATAATAACTTCTGTTAAGACATAGCAGGGCAAAATATTTTCTTTCCCCTAGCAAGCAAGCATGGAGGAGTTTCCATTATCCATTATGCACACTGACAGTTTTCCCTGATCCAAAACATCTGCTGTTCTGAAAAGACCAAGGACTGTGTTTCGATCCTGTTTTGCTGCCAGCTAAGAGGCTACTAGCCTTTTTGATGCCAATGCTGGCACCTTCTTCCATGTCCCACATTGGCACCTTCTCTCGTGTCCTTTTCCTATTTATTTATATATATATATATATATATATATATATATCTTCCTGACAACAGAAGAGGCCCGAAGGCGGAAAATTAATTCAAATGGTCTTGGGAACCAAACCCTAGCTTAACGGCTCAGCAACCCCTGGCTTGAGTTAACATGCTGCTCCATTAGGGTCTTCAGAGTACTCTCTGCATCCTCCCCCCACTTTTTTTTTTGGGGGGGGTGTCTGGATCTGTGATTTTATCTGTGTGGGAAACTCCCAACATGGAAACTCTCTCCACCAGTGCAGTGCAACAACTTGTCTGCAGCTTCCAGTCTCAGACAACTACCTGGAGCCCCATTTTCAGGTTAATTAACTTGCCCATGACCAGAGAGCTAGTTAGAGTTAGGAGTTAGAGGCAGAATTTGAACCCAGGTCTTCCTGATTCCAGAACTGATCTTTATCCATCATAACACACTGCCTCTAATCAGTCTCCATAAGCGGATAATTATGGACTGCTTTTTGAGCACTCAATAACACGTAAGGTCCTCTCCAGAATATTCCTGAAATGTAGCCCCATTGATGATCTTTCTGGAAGGCCTCTTCTAACACTAACACACAATGAATCTGTGTCAAGCAACAGCTGCATCCGTGTAGTGTAATAGGAAGGGCATTGGGTCTGGGGTCAGAGGACACCTGAGGTCAAATACCAGCTCTAGCACTTAACTAGTTGTGTGTCCTTAGACAACGTCGCCTTTCTGGGCCTCAATTTCCTCATCTATAAAACGAGAATCAGATGACCTGTAAGGACCTTGAAAGTTCTAAATCCTATGATCTTGGTTGTTTTTTTTTTTCAAATACTATTTCATTTTATCCTTACAATAGCCTTCCTTGGGAGATAGAAGCTATTATTATCCCCATTTTGCAAGTGAGAAAATTGAGAAAGACAGTAAAGTGACTTGCCTAGGGACACACAGCTAATAAATATCTGAGGGTGGGTTTGAATTCAGGCCTTCGTGAGTCCATATCCAGCCCTCTATCTACTGTTCCACCTAGCTGCCTCAATTTTATGATCTTAGGATAGGCATATATAGTGTATACATAGAGAGAAGTGGATTGAGGGATATAGAAAAGCAGCTATGCTTTGGGAAAGAGAGAAGCTTACCCCACCCCATGAATAAGGGCAGTATCTAGCAATGCAAAGATTGGACACTGAATCAATATCATCTGATAAATAAGCAAAGATGACAGGGGGTCTTAGTGGCCAGGTTTCTAAATACTTGTGGGATGAATTAATGAAGAGAGAGACCTAAATGATAATGTATTCCCTATTCACTCTAACACACTCTTGAATGCCTAACAAAATGCCTGGGATACAGTAGGCACTTAATAAATGCTGGTTAAATGATTGATTGGTTCCCTACATCAAAGGAGCATCATGGGTTTCAAAAGATGGCCCTGGAGTTCTCCAGGTTCTTCCTTCCACAACCCGGCTGCCAAGGTTGAGCCCTAAGCAAGTCACCCTGGGGCAAACAGCAAAATGTGGATGGAAAGGGCTCTGGAGTAAAAAGCAGTTCTCTTTCTACAGCATCTTAATGATGAGAGTCTTTAGTTCCAAGTCTGTTTATTTGCATCTGTGCTTCCCGACTCTTTTTCAGGCTTCCAAATCCTAATTGCTCTCTATTAATCTTCCTCTGGCCACTGCTACCTAATGGCATTTGACACTAGAAGGCAGAAGAAGAGATCTCGTCTTCCTCACTTTTCCTAATCAGCACCCTGAGCAAGTAGACTCTGGAGCTTCTGCCAGGAGACGCAGGTAGAGAATGTTTTGACAATAAGCGTCATTCGTCTGAGTACTTCGAGCTTTCTAAATGTCCTCTTGCAGTGTAACTACTTCACTTTAATTAAATAGTGAGGCTGCATTCCCAATTTATCCTAAGCCCCCAACACTCGTTTTTTGGATTACATTGTCAGTACTCTAGCATCTGTATTCCAAAGCACCTCACGTAGTAAACAGCACGTTCCTAATAAAGACCCCTCTTAGAATAACACACTTACAATTATGAGAGAGAAGCAAGGATAATAAGAGAAACACAGCTTTGAAAGATTGGAGCCAAATGATCACCACCTTACTATGGATTTATACTTGGTCTTTCAACACCCATTACCAACACTAATGCATTTGTCCTCCACGTACCTCCATAAAGGAGAAGATCAAATGATGGTTTCCAGCAAGGGCCAAGAAAACCAAATTCCACTAGAAGACCAATACTGAAGTGATCAAATGAAAACAGTCAGGTTAAACAAACCCCAGCTTTGTGTTCTTCAAGATCTATTTATCCACTTTTATTTGGAAAAGGGATGGAGTCCAAGTCAAGGAAATTCCAGAAGGCCCTGTTGGAGGAGCCAAGCCTTTGATATGACTTTCTGTCATCCCCTGCTTCCCCCATGCAAGTCTTTCATCCCTTCCATCCAAATAACCTTTCAAACCACAACTTCCTCTGTGTCTTGCAATAAGGAAAGTGGTGCACTTGTGCTAGGATAAATAAAGTATTAAGTACCTGCATTCACTGTCCCCCTCCTCCCCAGTTAGAAAGAAGTAAGGAGGGTTGCCCCTCCCACAGGCTGCTTCAGGGTCTTTCTAGAATTGGAGAGGAGAGAAGGATCAAAGTACCAGCATTATTCATCTATGGGAAGAGAGTAAAAAAAAAAATTAATATGTAGGACTTGGCCAACTGGCATTTAAAGAAGCGTATAAATACCCATGAGCATGTGAAAGGCGAAACTAAATTCCACAAAGGATTTTTTTTTTTAGAGTGGCTCTATAAGAAGTGGTAACTAGGAGGGATTGGACGAAAGCAAAGGAAAATCCAGGCCAAGGATCAGGAAAATTTTACCAAAAGCCAGAGCTTTTTTAACAGAGGGTTGATCTCCCTCTGGGGGGATTGGTGTTAGCAATGTCATTTGTCAAGTAAAACTAGGACAAACAGCTCAGATCTCTATAATGTCCTTAATGTTCTGAGTCCTATCCAAAGATTTGCTTAGATGCATTGGGTGGGTGTTGAAGAAGCATGTTTGATTTCCACCTCTTGGGTCCATAGTTTCTATGCTTTTGTTTGCATTCACCCTCATGGGGCTAATAAGGTATAGCCCCATTATGATGATTTAATTGACCGGTGCATGTATAGATTTTATTAGCACTCAGCTAATAAATTCCTTTACAATGGTTCTATGAAAAACACTAAACTCAGAATACTCTCCATCCTAGGGGCTCAAAATCTTTAAAGGATCCAAAAATTAGCACTGAGAAGGAATTTGATACTTCTCCATCTTCCACAAACTGTCTAGAGGGAAAAGGAGAATGAAATTAGCTGATGAGCTGGGAAGATGCATCTCAACAGTTGTCTCTTGAGATAGAGTATACAGAGAAGCCTTCTGGAGTTTCTAATTAGTAAAGAATATGTGTAGAGAAAAGAACTTTTCTGAGAAGTGAACCACACATTTATTCCCAGCTGGATTCAGTGCAAAATTGAAAATTATAATCTTATGAAGCTAAGCAAACTAGCCAAAAGTTTGAATTTAGACTTGAGATAGAAGCTCTGTTCATAGGATGCTGGGATTTGAACCCCCAAACAGCTGTTTTCTTCCCATCTTGCAAAGAACCTCTGAGGTCAATTAGCCCAATTTATACCTGTTCAGGATTTCCCTTTTAAAACATCAACAAGCGGTCATTCAGACTTCTCAAGAAGACCCTTTGTGAGGAGGAATATACTATCTCCCAAAGGTAGCATATTCCATTTTTGAATGACTAATTGTTTGGAAGTCTTTTTTCATACATCAGACCTAAATCTACCTCTTGAAAAGTTCTATCCATTGCTCTGAATTCTGGTCTGAGGTGTCAAGTATAATAATCCTGATGCCTCTACAAATAACCCAAGACAACTATCATATTCTACCTAAGTCTTAAGAGGAGGACTTTAAGCAAAGGTCGGATGGCCTCTGGCTAAGTTAACAATAGGGATTCCTTTCATGTATTTGTTGGACTAGATGGCCACTGACATCCCTTCCAAGTCTAAATTCTCTGATTCTCTGATTCTCCTTTTCCCTAGACTACTTATCTCTGATTCTTTCAATCGTTCCTCCCATACTCTGGACATTATGCATCTACCTCAAGGCAGCATAGGACGGCACTAGCTTTTCTGACCGCTATGTCACACTGCTGTCTCCTACTGAGTTTGTAATTCACTAAACCCTCCTAGATCTTTTTCCTGAGGAACTGCTTATAGCTAACCTAACTTGTAATTGAGAAGATAATGTTGGGCTCTAAGTATAGAACTTTCCATTTGTCCCCATTAAATTCCATCTTCCTAAATTGTCCAATGTTCCAACCCCTTGAGATTCTTCTTGATCTTTATTCTAACATCTCTCTCATCTAACTTTTGTGTTCTATGCAAACTTTATATAAAGCTACATCTATGCTTTCATCTAAGCAATTGATAAAAATATTGATTTGTGTGGCCGCTGCTTGCTGTTGTTGCTTGCTGTTTGTCCTTCATTCTCGAAGAGGCCCATGACATCAGGAAGATGATGCCATGACTTGCAAGTGAATTGGATTTAAGTGAGGGAGGGCTGTGCAAAGTCACCAGCCTCACTTTCTCCTCCAGAGCCATCTGAGTGCAGTGGCCAGATATGGAATCAGGAGGACTGAAGGTGGCCCAGGCTGCAGAGGAGGACATTGGCCTTTTCAAACTAAGGTCTTTAACAGGTCTTAGTTTGACTGAGGCAGTGCCCATTCAGTGATTAAGGTTTAATATTACATATTAAACATATAGGACCAAACTCCTGAGGCGCTTCACTGGAGACCTCACCCACTAATAGCTATTTTCAGAACATAGTCGTTCAATTTGTTCTGAGCCCGTTGAAGTGTATTATCACCCAGTCCACATCTCTCCATCTTTTCTACAAAGATCATATGCTTTGTTGAAATGATTGTAGCGTTGCCATGGTCTGCCAAACAAACCCTGTCAAAAAAGCAAATGACGTTAAACAGTCCTTGATAAAGCCATTTTGGTGATCATTTCTTCCTTTCTAAATGCTCACAAACCATCTCTTTAATAATGCATTTGGATTTTCTCAAGAATCAAAAATAAGAAAAAAAATTTTTAATTAAAAAAGAACCAAGGATAAGCTCACTGGCCTATTATATGTAAATTCTATTCTTTTTCTTTCTTTTGGAAATAGGGACACTTTCCCCTTCATGCAGCATCATCTTCCACTCTCCATACTCTCTCAAAAATGGTCTAGCACTCCCATCCACAGAATCAGAGAATATAGATTTGGAAGATGTCAGTGGCCCTCTAGTTCAACAATACATGAAAGGAATCTCCACTATAACTTAGCCAAAAGTGGCCATCCAGCCTTTCCTTGAAGTCCTCCTTTTAAGTAGATAGAATATGATAGTTGTCTTGGGTTATTCGTAGAGGTATTAGGATTATTATACTTGACACCACACAGCAGAATTCAAAGCAATAGAAAGAACCTTTCAAGAAGCAGATTCAGGTTTGATGTGAGAAAAAAGACTTCCAAACAATGAGTCCTTCAAAAATGGAATATGCTACCTTTGGGAGCCAGTGGGTTCCTCCTCACAAGAGGTCGTCTTGAGAAGTCTGAATGACCGCTTGTTGGAGATATCTTAAAAGGAAATCCTGAGCAGGTACAAACTTGGCTAACTGACTTCAGAGGTCCTTTGCAAGATGGGAAGAAAGCAGCTGCTTGGGGGTTCAAATGCCAGCATCCTATGAACAGAGCTTCTATCTCAAGTCTAAACTCAACTCAAACTTTTGGCTATCTTGCTTACTTTCATAAGAATACAATTTCCAATTTTGCACCGAATCCAGCTGGGACTTAATGATTGGCCCCAGCTTCCCTAATACAGCTTCTTCCCCTCCATTCTTCCCTTGGGCCACTCCCCACACCCACCAACCTGCCTTTCTTTGCAATAGGCTGCCCCCAGGACCAGAAAGCTCCCCTCATCTCATCTCCTAACTCTATTTAATGCTCAAGTCAAGTGCCACCTGCTATACAAGGCCTTTTCTGATCCCACCAAATGGTAATGCTTTCCATCTGAAACAATTTTGGATTAATTTTGCATTTAATTTAATTTTAATCTAATTTAATTTAAATCTGTGTACATGTTGCTCTCCTGCTCTCCCACCAGTAGAATATAATTTACATGAAGGCAGAAACTGTTTTCATTTTTATCTTTGTACCCCAGCATTTAGCACAGTGCCTGACACACAATAGTTGTTAATAAATATCTATTGCCTTGAATTTATGACTGAGCTTCAAGGGTTCAGCAAACAAAATGATCAATTAGAGTAAAAGAGTTATACTGACAGACTCCTCCTCCTCCTCTTCATTCATTATTCACCTGGTAAAACTACCCAGGAATCAGTTGTTTCCACTATTCTCTCAACTTTTCTCTTCTAAAGCAAACCTATCCAAAAGAGAAATGTGAAAGGTGAAAACAAGGAAGCCCATGACAGAAAAGCCTAAAAAAATAAGAAAAACAAAACAAACCAATATAAGTGGACTGCAAGGAAGAAAAACTGTCCATCATCCAGGGGAGGGTCAATTAATCAGTGTAAGAACACATGCAAAGGTAAATTTTTTTTCTGCTTCACTAGTCATTATCAAGTGCTGGGGGTGGAGGTACGGGGTGGGGAAGAAATATCAGCCAATCTGTGTCATTTTAATCAAACTGGAATCCAAGAGTGAGACTGGTTGTACTGGCTGTAAAGACATTTTTATAGCAAACCAATTTGCCGGAGTGGTAAGGTAGAAGGACCCAGACTAGGGTGAGGTTTTCACCTGATGCAAAAAAAAAAAAAGTTAAAGAATGGAAAGCATGGTGCCTCTGAACTGTTCACCAGCAGATGGAGGGGAGAGAGAGGGTGGCAGTGATGATGGAAATATTGGTAGTACTAGCATTTATATAGTGCTTTAAGCCTCGCAAATAATTTTGCAACTATAATTTCATTTTATACTCATTAGAGCCCTTGAAGGTAAGTGCTATTATTATCCCCCATTTTACAGATGAGGAAACTTAGGCACAGAGATTAAGAGACTTGCCCAGGGTCACATAGTAAGTAAGCATCTGAGAACAGATTTGAATTAGGAATTTTTTTATTTCAAGTTCAACACTTTACCACCTAGCTGCCTCAAAGAAAAGAGGACAATATAGGAGGAGGAAGAGCTGCAGTGGTAAGTTAACTGCCTGACATTGTAGTGGTAGTGACAGCACAGCACAATGTGATGGCCAGAAGGTTACAAAAAGGATGCAGAGGTCAGTGAGGCCACTCATGAAAGCATGCTTACAAAAGGGATGGCTCATCCACCAATCTTCACCCTTATTGGGGTTGAGGTGGGGGTTGGTAAGTCTGGGAAAGAAGCACCATAGCGACTTGCCCCTGGGAGAAGGAGTTAAGCTTGTGACCTTGGAAGGAAGGGCATTCCCCTGTGTCAGTGCCCTAAGGCAATGTCCTGTTTGCCATGATAGTTATGATTCTGGAAAGAACATGGGACAAAGCATCAGAATGACCAGGGTTGTTCTAGTTCTGGCTCTGCCCCTAACAGCCTTGGATAAAGTACAACTACTCTGACCCTCAGTTTCCCCACTGCTAAAAAGGAAGGAATGGCAGCAGACAATCCATAAGGTCCCTACCAGCTCTATGACTCTATAGCACTGAATTTTCCTTCCTATTGGATGCTAAAGATAGCCGGGCACATAGTAGGTCCTTAATAAATGCTTGTTGATGTATTGGTTGATTGGTTGTAGCAAACTGACTACATGCACAAAACTATATTCATGCTCAATATCTCCCTTTTGTAAATATTACCTAGAAAAAACTCTATAGAACTTAACATCTCAGTAACTCTGCTATAATACATCCATACATTCTGCCCTGCCCCGACTCTTGGAAGGGTTTTCCAGAAGGCAAAGGACCAATCTTCAGCAATATGACAAAGGCCCAATACTCCCCTGTAACCTTGAAACGTCGCAGTTCAATTCAATGGAAAAAATGTTTAGTGAGTGCTACTATGTGCAAGATTCTGGGTTTGGTACAAAGGGCACAAAAACAAAAAGAAAATTGTCTTGACCCTGGCAGAGACTGCACTCTCTCCCAGGGGATTACCATGTGCACAGAAATAAATGAGATATAAAATAAAGGTGGAAGGACAAAAGGAGAAACCACACAAAGTCCTACAGGAATATTTAAAGAAGAAGAAAATGCCATTAGCTAGGAAGGAAGCATGAGGGCTAAACAGGGGAGGTTGCAGCTGACTAAAGCCATAAAGGAAAAGAGTCATGCCTTCAGAAAATCACCAGATTTGGATTCTGAGAACCTGAGTTCAAATCCCAACTCTGCCATGTATTACCTATGTAAACTAAGTCAAGAGACCTCTGTGGGCCTCAGTTTCTCCATCTTTAAAAGGAGGGAGTTGAAATAAATAGTCTCAAAGTTCCTTTCCAGCTCTACATTCTTGATCCTACGAAATACTCTCAGCCTTCCCTCATGAGCTAGAGGGTGCTGTGAATAGAGTGCCATGTCTGGAGTCAGGAAGACCCGAGTTCAAATCTGGCCTCAGTTATTTATTAGCTCTGGAATCCTACTTAATCAATGTCTGCCTCAGTTCCCTCAACTGGAAAATGGTGATGATAATAGTACCTTCCTCCCAGGGTTATTATGAGGATCCAATGAGATAATATTTGTAAAGTGCTTAGCACAGTGCCTGCCACACAGTAGGCGCTTAATAAATGTCTATTCCAGCCATCCAGCCATGATGGACTAACAGCAAAGGACCAATTATCCTGTGCATCTGTTCCACAAGTGGTAAGAAATGGTTAAATGAAAGGCTTCTCATGCATTTACAGAAGGAAACTGGACCCACTGAAAAGAAACATATAAATCTTAGCACCTGATTAATTTCTCACTGTGCTGTCATTTTTGAGGTTGTGTAAAGTTTATGGGCATTACTTACGTCGGTCATGTTATTGTTGTTGAGTTATTCGGTATTTGTAAAGTCCCTGACCACAAATGGCCAGTTAGAAATACAAGCTACAGTGAATAATTTCTTTGTTTTAGATCTGGCCACCATTGTTAATGAGTGGGGAAGCCTTCTTAGGTTGAGAGCTTTGAAGGCAGAAAGTTGTAAACATTCCCTTACTGGCTGGCCAAATCATTCCAAGCCAGTATTGGGTGACACTGCTCTCAGGAGACCCAGACACAGAATAAGCCAGCTCCTATTATTGATTAACTAATCACATGTCCCAGGGAAGGAGGTTTGGGGGGGCTGTGCTTATAAACATTAAGCTAGAAATAGCCTCAACCTTTTACTCTACACAATAGATTGGCCAAGGAACCCAAACAGCAGGTGGGTCACCTGTAAACACACAGAGCTGGCTTCTCCCAGGGAACAGGCCACTCCCTTGGACCAGGGCTGTGTCTACCAAAACAACCAAGGAAGCCAGTCAATTCAGTCACAATTCAGATCAATTCAATCTCCAAAACAGACCAACAAGTTGTTCATGTCTTGTAGAGACAAAACAATGCAGCGGAAAGCTCCTTTTTTCACATTTCAGCCAGTTTTGACAGCGTGTCAACATAGGCTGAGGCTGGGTCTGTGCCAGTGGGGCCAAACTTTACCAGAGACAGGGGCCACAAAGCCATACACAGAATCCCTGTGGGCTGCTCATTGATTTAGGAAACCACATGTTATCATTATTTATGTTCTATTGTATTTTTATTTATTTTGTTAGGTATTTCTCAATTACATTTTAATCTGGTTCAGGCCTCCATTAGGAGGTCTGGGCTACAATGTGTTTGACACTTCTGGTCTACACATACAAATTTTCCAGTTAATGCAAACTAAAAACCACACATATGCTACCCAGAGGCTAAAAATGTCCTGTGCCTCAAAAGTGAGAGAGAGAGAGAGAGAGAGAGATGTGTCCTTGATGGTAATATCAAGCAAGACAGATGCCTGCCCCAAGTCAAAAGTTTCTTTGGCATATAAACGATCATGGACACTGTGAGGCTGTCATGTTCAACCCGTCACTGAAAATGAATCCCAACAGGAGCGCATGAGAGAGAGAGAGAGAGAGAGAGAGAGAGAGAGAGAGAGAGAGAGAGAGAGAAAGATAGGGTATGTAGATATATCTATCTATCTATCTATCTACCTATACACACACACACAACACACACACACACACATATGTGTGTGTATGTATACACATAGATATATGGGGGGAATGGAGAGAAGCACATGCACACACACACACACACACACACATCCCATCCCCAAAGACAGACCATTCCACTCTTTAGTAGCCCTATTTGCTAGAAACTTTTTACTGACATCAAGCCTAAATTCTTCCCTTTCTCCCTCCTTTCCTCTCTCCCTCCCTCCTTTTTTTCCTTCCTTCCTTCCTTCCTTCCTCCTTTTTTTCCTTCCTCCCTCCCTCCTTCTCTCCCTCCCCTTTGCAGCTTCCCTTCATCACTCCTAGTTCTGCCATCTGGGGTCAGAAAGAACAAAACTGATCTCTGTTCCACAGAACATCCTTTCAAATGCTTGAGAACAGCTTCCAGGCCTTCTCTGAATCTTTTCTTCTCCAGACTAGACATCCCCAGTTGCTTCAACCAGTCCTCTTTGTTTTGGGGCTAGGCAATGGGGTTAAGTGATTTGCCCAGGGATGCACAGTTAGTGAGTGTCAAGTGTCTGAGATCGGATTTGAACTCAGGTCCTCCTGACTCCAGGGTCAGTGACCGATCCACTGCACCACCTAGCTGCCCCAGCCTGTCCTCTTGCATCATGATCTCATGGCCCTTCACCCTTCTTGTTGTCTTCCTCTGGATTTTCTCCAGCGTTTCCCAGTGTCCTTCCTAAACTGGGGTATCCAGAACTGATCTTTCTCCAGAATTTAATGTTAAAGAAATGGGAGGAGGGCAGGGGCAGGTCGAGGGGGACGCGGCTTGCCTGAGCTACTTAGTTGCAGAGCCTGAGCTAGCATCCATTTCTCCTCCTTCAGTGCTCTCTTCAGGCCACCACTATAAGCAAAGAAAAGGAGAGCATGATTATGATATTGCGATCCTTTAGGTCAGGGTAAACCTGGCCTTCTCTAACTTTGGCTGTTATATAAGCAAAGAGTTCCTGCATTTGAAGAAAGGAGTTATTGCTTGTTTGGTGTTTCCAAAGCAGCGCAATAGACAGACAGACAGACAGACAGATAGAGACAAGGAACAGAAGGGGAAGGGGGGGTAAGGAGGAAGGAAGGAAAGAAGGAAGGAAGGAAGGAAGGAAGGAAGGAAGGAAGGAAGGAAGGAAGGAAGGAAGGAAGGAAGGAAGGAAGGAAGGAAGGAAAGAAGGAAGGAAGGATGGAAGGAAGGAAGAGAAGGAGGAAGGGAGGGAGGGAAAGAGGAAGGAAGAAAAAAAGGGAAGGAAAGAAAGGAGGTAGGGAGGAAGGGAGGAAAGGAGAGAGAGAGGGGGAGAGAGACAGAGACAGACACAGAGAGAGAGACAGACAGAGACAGAGAGACATATAGAAGAGGGCTCAGGGAAGCCTAACAAAAAAAGCATGACCTTGGTGGTAACGCCATTGTCATGGGAAAGGCCAAAATCCCCCAGCTCTAGGGAAATCCAGCACAGAACAGACTGTAACCAGAACACAAAGCTAACCAGTATCCTGAGTGAAAACAAGGTTGGCATGCTCTTGGTAAGGAGGAATTTTATGTAACCAACTCCTAAATCTTTTTTTTGCCCTCTCTCCACGTCTTGACCATGGTACAGTACAAATTGTCATTTTTAGTCCCCTTGAAGTGTCGAATGTTTTCTGCTACTTTAATTCCAAGAGTTGCAAAAGACAATGATTTCCAGACGGGTTTTGCAGCACTGACGTCTATTTATCCCTTTTCTGCTTACCAACACTCAACACGACACTCACTGGGTTAAAAAGGACAGTATTCTATTGAAGCTGAATAGTAATGACAAGAGGATGCCCAGTGAGTTAGCTCTTTCTACCAAAGGCAATTTATGGTCTTAGAGGGCTGCCCAAGGCACTAATTTTGGGAATTTGCCTAGGGTCATATAATCTGTATATCTTAGAGGCAGGATTTGAATCCAGGTCTTATGAATCCAAGTCCAGTGCCCTATCCATTATGCCACACCACTTAGATAAGAAGACTTCCTTCCCACCTTTCTATAGGGAACACAGGGTGGAGAAGAATGATCACAAAGAAGGTAGGAGCATATTTAGGGGTACAGTAAAACGAGGCACTGAGCTGAAATATGTGGAATTGGGGTACTTAGAAGCAGAGTCATAACTAGGAATTCTAGTACCTGGGGAAAATTCAGTCAACCAGGGTAGTGGGATGAGGATGCTAAAGTATGAGTGCTCTGTTGCATGGTTGAGATTAACAGAAAGCCAGAGGTCATGGGAGCTAAGGAGATTTAAGGGACTGGCGAGAAAATTGAGCCAGATACTGGACTTATTGGGAAAAAGGGTGGCCTTGGGGGCCTCACAGCAACAAGGGTCCAGACAGAAAGGAATGAACTTTAAAGGAGAAGAAAATAATTATTGAGTAAAAGTGGCAGAGGAAAGGTCTGAGGGTGTCAGTAAAGACCAAGGAGTATGTCATATCTGCCTTGTGGTCCTACATGTCACGAGCATGAAGGAATGAGCAGACAGCCTTAGAGAAGCTGCCAGGAGGTTGATGTCTCAGGAGAAAGCTGGGCCCCAGTGAGCACCCAAAGATGGAAGGAATCTGAGGAGGAAAGGTCTAATATAGAACCTAAATCTAATTGCTTACTGCTTTAGGGAGGGGGAGGGGATGAAAGGAGGGAGAAAAAATTTGGAACTCGACCTTTTTTTGTTTGTTTTGGCTAGGCAATGGGGTTAAGTGACCTGCCCAGGGTCACACAGCTAGTAAATGTCAAGTATCTGAAGCCAGATTTGAACTCAGGTCCTCCTGTCTCCAGAGCCAGTGCTCTTTCCACTGCACCACCTAGCTGCCCTTCAAACATTTTTAAATGAATATTAAAAATTGTCTTTACATGCAATTGGAAGAAGAATAAGGAGATGATGATGATGATGATGATGACAATGATGACGATGATGACAATGATGACGAGGATGATGATGATGATGACAATGATGACAATGATGACAATGATGACGAGGATGATGATGATGATGATGACAATGATGATGATGATGATGACAATGATGACAATGATGATGACAATGATGATGACGATGATGATGATGACAATGATGACAATGATGATGACAATGATGATGATGATGACAATGATGACGATGATGATGATGATGACAATGATGATGATGATGATGATGATGATGATGACAATGATGATCTAGGTTCATATATTTGGAGCCAGAAAAAATTTTGGAGGTCATCTAGTCTAACCAGGATAAAGTGGCTTGCCAAGGCCACAGTGGAAGAACCAGGGGTTCTGATTTGGGATCCTCTGATTGTAAATTCAAAGATCATTCCACTAAACCACATAGAGAAGGGTTCCAGAGGGCACAGAGAGGTGGTCACAGTAGAAAAGAGTCTAGACACCAGGGAGGGCTAAGGGTGAGTTGCTGTGTCCTAAGGGAGAGAGGCAGCTAGGCAGTGGACAGAGTTTCAGGCCTGGAGTCAGGAAGATTTATGTTCCTGAGTTCAAATCTGGCCTCAGATACTTTCTAGCTGTGTGACCCTGGGGAAGTCATTTAACCCTATTTGCCTCAGTTTCCTCATCTGTCAAATGAGCTGGAAAAGGAAATGGCAAACCACTCCAGGATCTTTGCCAAGAAAACCCCAAATGGGGGCAGCTAGGTGGCGCAGTGGATAGATCACTGGCCTTGAAGTCAGGAGGACCTGAG